AAGAAAAGAAAGAAAAAAATAAAGGATGCAAATTTTATTGAAACAAATAAAAAAAGTGCAAAAATTAATGATGCAAAATATTTAGCAACATATTTTATTGATGCAAAATATTTTGAAATAAAAATAAATCATCATTTGATATTATTATTATATTTGATAATAATTTATATTATCTATTAAATACATCATATTTCTTTATTATTTATCTTTCTTTTCTTTTTATTATTTCATATATTAAATTATTATTCATTCATTTATTATTTATATTTCATTTATTAAATAAAATGAAAATGAAATTGTAAAATATCAATTAAATATTCATGAATAATAATTTATTAATATTTAATAATTGAAATAATAAATAATAATAAAGTAACAATAATGATATATTCAATATATTCTTTATTTGATTTGTTCAATATTAGATTATTCTATTTCATTATCATTTCAATGTCTTCATTATTTTATTTCATTATTTCATATTCATTTATTATTTTTTAAAATCAAATAAACAATAATATTGATATTCATTCATCATATTCATTTAATATAATAAATATACACAACATTTCAGAATAAATAATGAATAATTAACATTGAAAATATTGATTATATTTAATATTTTATTCAACATAAAATCAATAAAACATATATTTAGATAATACACAAATGAAATATTAAAGAAATATACAATACTCAAGAATTAATAAAAAAAGAAATAAAAAAAGAATAAATGAATATAAAATTGATAAATAATAGAAGAAAGAAATAGAAAAACAACGAAAAACAAATAATATAAAAAGAATAAAAATATATAAAAGAATAAAAATAAAGTAGAAGAAGAATATAAAAATAATAAATCAAAAAGAGATGATAAAATAAGAAAAGAATGAAAATGGTGTATTTTTATTGTAAAAATTAGAAATATTCAATAATAAGTGTCTAATTTAATTGTGTAAAATGATTAACAATATTTTATTAATGAAAAATATTTTACTCTTTTTTATGTTTATTATTTATATGTATAATTTCATTATGATGTTTATTATATATTCAATCATATGTGTTATGTTATTATATAATATAATAAGTGATAAAATATAAATGAAAATGATATGAATATATAACATAGATTGAATATAGAAAAACAAAAGAATAATAAGAATAAATGATAAATAAAACGAGAAATGCTAAAAAATGATATAATAATAAAATCAAAGTATAAAAGATAAAATTAATATTAATATAAATCAAAAGAGAATAAATATAAAATGATAATAACATAAAAATGATAAAGATGAATAAGATGAATAAACAAATACAACTAAATAGAAAAGAATAACAATAAGAAAATCTAAATAATATAAACATAAAAAATAATAAAATAAGAATAATATAATATATAGATAATAAGAAGAATACAATGATATACATAATATAAACAGAGAAATAAATATAAAAATACGATAGATAAATAACATATAAAGAAAAGAATAAAAATAATAAAAATAAATATGAATAATCAAATAATCTATTTCATTAATATTTCATACAAAATGAATACAAATGATTATAAAAT